GCAGGGAGCCCGATGCGGGGCTCGATCCCAGGACCCTGGGACCACGACCTGAGCCCAAGGCAGACGCTTAACGACTGAGCCACCCAGGCGCCCCGACAATTTGACTTTTTATTGGTGTACTTAGTCGGCTTACATTTAATGTACATAAACTGACATTCAGGTGTAACTCTACCATCTTATTTGTTTGCTCTTTCCTCCACCTGTTCTTTTTTTGAAAACTCCTTCCATGCCTTCCTAAAGATTAATCAAGTATTCTCTGTCACTCCAGTCCCCTCCATTAACTTGTTATTACGCCTTCTCTCATTATTCCTTCAGGGACTGCTCAAGGGAAGTGCTGTCCCCATAGAAACAGTCCATACCTGCGCTATCAGGGCATGCCCCCTTCCCGTCCCCAGATATTAGCAAGGCTCTGGGCCTCTGTAACAGCGGTTGCAAGCTTTCCCTGTAAAGGGCCACATAGGCTTTGTAGGGCCTCCTCAACTCCACCATTGTAGCTTGAAAGCAGCCATAGATAATATGTTGATAAAATAGCATGGTTATGTCTAAACAAACTATCTTTACCAAACAGGTGACAGGTAGATTTACTGACCCCAGCTTTATAGCCTCAGCGTCTCTAGGTGGGGGTCGGGGGAGGGGCATCTGGCTCCTGGGCTCTACTTGGCTCCAGTACTACTCTTCCTCTTCTGGTCTCTTCGAGCCTGGAGGTGATAATGGCTTCCCCATCTACCTGTCCCCGGAAGTCCCTCAAACTGCTTTGGTTTTTTATTCCCACCCACACATCTGTAAACAGTTCCTCAACTAAACTCTTCAGCTGAATGCTGCAGCAGGCCGTCCAGCTCCTGCAAAGACCCTAACGGAATTTTAGGCTTCCATCACGCACCTATTCATTCCACTGCGGCCCAAGTTGCAGCCAGCAGTTTGCGGATGTGCCTCCCGGCCCAGGAAGATCCTCCTGCAGGGCAGACGCTATGCCTTAGTTATGTTTGTATCCCCAACATACCGATCCCTCACCTGGACACAAAAGGGGAATGAAGAATCTTGGCTAAACTGAACTAAATTAGCAATGCAGAAATGGGAGCCAGGAGAGGTCAGAATTTGGAAAAAAGACTTGAGGGGTTCTTATTTAAAGTGGGTAGGCTGTGAAAGAGAACTATCCAGGAGAGAGGGAGTTAATGAAGGAGGAGAGCCAGAGGATTTGTCTCAAAGTTATCACAGAAGGGAAAAATGTAAGGACCTGGTGTTACAATGTTAAGTCTTTAGTGTGGTTGAGCTGTTGTGTTAACAGCATCCTCTGTGGAGTGTGGTTATCTAGCCAGCATTAACCATGTCAGCTGTGGAGTGTGGTCGAGCACTTGGTGTAACAAATGTCAGCTGTTGAAAGAGGTGAATGTCAGCTGCTGCAGTGAGTCGGAGTAAGGAAAAGAATGAGCACAAGTTCATTTTGCAAATAGGAGGTCACTGCGTCCTTTGAGAGGGGTGTCCACAAAGTGGCCTGTATTCAAGCCACATAAAAAGCATCGAAATAGCAAACTGGAACCAGAAAGGTGGAGCAACTACTTAAGAATAGAAACTTTTTTAAAAATAAGTTTTTAAACTGAGAAGGTAATACATGAAAATAGTCAAGATGAGTCTAGAATTTAGAAGTTTATGTTGAATACATTGCTTCAAACACGTAGTCATAATGGATTTATAGATTATGGAAACAGAAAACAAAAAGACACAGCAGGGCTCGAAAACACCAAAGTTACTGGACCAGAAACAGAGGTGAGAGTGGCTCCCGTCGCCTGGCTTCTGGGGCTGGAAGTTGGCCACGGGAGTGGGCAAGGGGCTCACCCCACAGGCTTGGGTGAGGCTGTCCTACGTGGTGTAGGAAGCTAAACCAACCAACCAACAAAACCCTGTTGCTGACAGCCGCCTAGGGCTTTTTAACAGGGTGGGGGCTTAGGAGTACAAAGACATAGACCCAAACTGAAGACCAAGAATGAATACCACTGCCTGCAGACCCTGCATCTGACATGCTCTCCCTGTTATTGAAAGCCTTGACATGCCACATGGGACCCCATTCTGGGCTGAAGGTGGAAGCAGCGGCAAGGCCACTGACTAGGGAAGGGTGAGGAGGGGGAGGGGAAGGGGGAAGAACCGGTATCTCCTGCCCGCTGCCCACAAACCTAAATTCCAGGACATCTGAAGAAACCCAAAGCTAAGAAAGTTAACAAATCAACAATCAAAACATTTTCTTCTCCTTAGATAATTGAAAGTAAGAAACAAAACAGGCAGAAATGAAGTAAGAATAGATGGATAGGAAAAAGGACCAACGAAAATCTTCAAAATAAAAAACAGTCATTGAAATAAATACCTCAAACTATCACAAACAAAACCACCTCCAAGACAAAATTAATAAAGGCTGTTTACTCATTAACTTGCAGCAAGGGAGCCCTTCTGATGTCACTTTCAAGGGTTTTAGCAAGGAAATTAAGTTTTATCAGGTACGAAGGGGAAAAGTCTTGGACTGGGACGCATCCTATTAAGGTGGGATTTGGAGTAGAAGAGACTTTTCAATTTGTCTGCAGGTACTTCTGACCGTCCTTGGTTGTCTGAAGGGGGCCAGGAAGCAGTTTGGGGAACTTCCAAGAGGACGGACTGTGGGATGCTAAGAGAGACAGGTGTTCTGCAGGTGGCTGCACCTTGGAACAAGTGGGGCCATTGGGACTCTTTAGAGTGAGCATCCTCTTGAGAAGTGACCCCATGATAAGGGTGCCTCCAAACAGACTCTCAAGGAGCATTAAGGAAATGACCACCTACTGGGGTGGGTTAGGAGGTCTCCATGCACACCACTGCTCCATTAGCGTTTCCATCTTGGAATAGAAAACCTATTTGCCAACACACATGACCCTTGAATAACATGGGTTTCTTTCTTTCTTTTTCTTTCTTTCATTTGAGAGAGGGAGAGAGAGAATGAGAGACAGCATGAGAGAGGGGAGGGTCAGAGGGAGAGGCAGACTCCCTGCCGAGCAGGGAGCCCGATGTGGGACTGGGTCCCGGGACTCCAGGATCATGACCTGAGCTGAAGGCAGTCGCTTAACCAACTGAGCCACCCAGGCGCCCCTGAATAATATGGGTTTCTATGGGGGTTTTTCCCAATAAACATACGTAACAGTGCTGTAAATGTATTTTCTCTAACTTATGAGCTCCTCTATAACATTTTCTTTTCTCTAGCTTTTTATCGTAAAAATACAGTATGTTATACATACAACATACAAAACGCGTTAATCACCGTTTACTTTCCCGGTAAGGCTTCCGGCCAACAGCAGGCATTGGAAGTCAAGTTTTTTGGGTCAAAAATTATAACTGGGGGGAGCAGGCACAGCTGACCCTGTGTCGGTCCTGGGTCAACCACACCGCGGACAGCTGGCTATATTTTTGATCAGAAGAAAACCTCAATTTTAAAGCATGGGAAGAGTTCAGACCACATTTCCAAGCTATAAATTAGTAACAAACTTGAACAACACGATAGCAAAGTTGAGAACTCCGGACTCGACTGTTAGCCCTCTTTGGAGGCCACTTATGGGAATTTTATTCCGTAGGTGCGGGACAACGCCGAACACACCTGCGCGCAACGGAAGCCCGACAAGGCGGCGAGTTAAAAGACCGGAAAGTCCCCGGCGTCCGGGAAATGCAGGACTCTCGGCCGCCGCGGCCGCCGCCGGAGACACGCACCTGCTGCGCAGCCCCGGGCCGGCCTCCCGGCGCGCCCCCACGCGCACGCG